AAGAAAGGATGAGGAACTTTGTGCCCTATGTTAAAACTTCTGTATAATAACTTGTCTTAATTTTAATTCTCTAAAAGGAAAATATACTTTACTACAGTCACAATAGAACAGAAAATACAATAAAACAATTAAATCGAGGCACCCATTAAAGAGAAAACGAATACAATTTTTATAAATAAAAGTAATCGAATCGAAAATAATAAAAGTAAACATTTTTATTATTTAATTAAAGCATAGGACACTGTTAATCAAGGGGTTAATAAAATAAGGCCTAGTTCCATCTGAACGCAATCGAGGTTTAATTAAAAAAGGTAGTAAATGCTACGCAGTATTACGTTAATTGGTTAGGAGATTGGTACATTCGATTTTTTGTTTTTGTATGAGAATATGATTTTTTTAATACCTACCTTTTATTGAGCCTAAGAGTCAAACTGTGTGGTTATATGCCATTCCGAACGATATTAAAATCATTAATTTTTATATTTGAAAACAAATAGCCCTGTCACTATAGACTAAGGTAATTTTAATACAATTTTACTTCACAATTTTTCTAGTTTTATGATGGATGATAACAGTGGCTTTTACCCGACGCTAACAGTATTCCGTACCAGCCGTTATTATTCAATTGTTAAACAAAATATGCAGATCATACGCATGAGATAATACAGCATCACTCTTTGAAAATTTTTATGACTTACGACTGAAATTAATAACCAATATGATTACGAAATCTTTGGATTGATTTTTGACATTAATTCTATTCGGTTTATATCAAAAACCTAGATCAATCCAGACATTGTGCAATTTATTTCCACGGTGCCTCATGTACCAGTTCTTTGAAGATTTATATGACTAAATTATATTAAACAAAATATAAATAAAAGACTTGGTAAGCGTTTGTAAATTGTCATATTTTTACCGACTTCAAAAAAAGGAGGAGGTACTATGTTCGGCTGATTGTTTTTATAAATCATTTTAATTTTATATTCATTCATACCAAAAGACAATAATATATTGAAAATATCATGACCTACATAATATATAAGTTTAACATAGTAACAAAATATTTAAAACAAATAATTAAGTTATTAAACTATAATAAACATGTATAATAAGTGGAGCAGCTATTAAGTCGTTATCAGCTTTCATGAATGGATTTGGCAACGGTACAGAGGCGGGTCATTGACCCCGCGGCGCGCGATAACCTGCGCGTGCGCCGACTTGAATGAAACTTCCTTAGATTGTGTCTGGATGGTTAAGGTAAGATGCAGTGCTATACTTGAAAACTTAATAACTATTCTATCATGGATACACTTAAAAACCTAGGTATAAACCTGTTTGTATTTTTGTCACTGTGATTTATTACTTGTAAAGAACACTGTGTAAAGGTGCATGTTAAATGTAGAGCATTTTCTATTGGTTAAGTTATAAGTCTCATTTAGAAGTTTTGCCGGTTAACATAATTGTCTGCACGGTTGGCGCAGTGGCTGGGTACCTGGCTGCCGCGCAAATTGTCGCGGTTTCGATTCCTGCACAGAACAATTTTTTGTGTATATTGTTGTTACGGGTCTGTGTGTCATGTGTACGCACTCTTTCTCCTGTGTCGTACAGGAGAAAATGATAGTGTGGGGCAAGGTTAAAAAAAATCTTTTTTTTAACGTCACTCCTAAGTCACGTCATGTCGCAAAGTATGTGTTTGTTTTAATGTAAGTTCAAGAATATGTTACACAATTAGTGAAGATATGAGATAACAACGAAAATGTGTTCATTTGTAAAATCTATGTATAAAGTCTAGTTTACTTTACCATTGTTGTTATGTATGGAATTGTCATTATGTTACGAGATTTATTAGTACAACATCTATAACTAAGTATTGCAATATTTTGGTAACTCTTTTGAGTGCAATCCAAATAACTTGAGTCAAAGGTAAGAAGAACATTTTGGAGTACGAAGACTTCATATAAAATAATGTAATTTTTAGTATAATGAAGTGATATGCTAAGTATGTGATTCTCTTCCCTATAGATCCAAACTAATTACAATCCTTTTGTATGTCCCATGGACTTGTCTGTTAGACACACGCGTGATTTTTTACCAATGCAATCGTTAGATCTGAAACTGGTTATTATTTTTTACCCTGAGTGTTAGATAGAACCTTTTTTGCAGGTTCTAGTGACCTTACGCGGGTACATCACAGATGTTAAGGCCATACACTTTAGACGGAACAAAAACAAGATTCAGTTTTTGCTGAGGATTTAACGAAAGCCTGGCCAGGCCTCTGGAGCTAGCTAAAGCCATAATGATCACGTCATATGTATTAGTAATAACAACTGTTGGTCATGGTAGATAACTTTGACATATCCTATAGACCACCCAACGTTAAGAAACAAAGAATATCATTGTTTAAACTTATTATCTGCCACTACGGATATTAAATCATTAGTATCTGTGTACAGACAGCACGACAACTTCATACAATCTATTAATTATTTTTATAGATCTTTAACTCTATAGTTATGCAAATAAAGTTGAAAATGTTAATAATCCCAGAATATAGGTTGATATGCGGCTACCCGATTTCTTCGCAAAAAAACAAAGTTCGTAGAACTGACAGTCTTGTGATAAGATACGGTCCGGAAGTGTCGACCTCCTTGCTAAAGGTCGGGGCATAAGTGGTCCAAGTGTTGGCCAGTGTTGGGCCAACGATGTGGTCCAACCACACGACAACTGCGATCCAATTACACTGAGAATTACATGGAATTGGAGCGATCGATATTGACGCACGCTTGAGAGAGAGCTGGAGAAATTTTTTGACAACTTCGACTTGCAAAATGCGAGAAGTAGATGCTCAATGGTAGTAGAAAATGAAGGTATATTATTAGTAGCATTCCTTTTTGAAAGCAGGCCTTGGAACCTTTGTTTTTTTATACCACGACGGTGGCAAAAAAGCATACGGCCCACCTTATGGTAAGCTGTTACTGTGGCCTATGTAGGTACGCCTGCAACACTTGGGGCATTGATAGGAGCAATTACATATGCAGACGTATGTACGTCTGCATATGTATGCATGCGTTTATATGTTATAAACGATGGTAGTCAAACAGTTACGATTACAGTAAACTATTGTGACTTTTATGTCTTCGCACAGATCAATGCATGCGCATTAAATTATTAACATTACATACATTTCTAACCTCCTGTCTCATGGAGTAGGTAGAGACTATGGGACGCCAATTGCTATGATTCTTACATACCTCTGTATTTTATGGAAGTAATGGTATACCTTACTGTTTTATTTATTACGTTACCCAACAGTTATTTACACTCATACATTCATTACAAATGATGATTTATCGAAATACAAAGAAAAGCTTAAAGCTCAATAAAGTTGTACTCTATATTTGCGCTTGCGATGAAGTAGGCTAACTTGACAAATATTATTTCAAAATAACAATTTACTAAAGAAAGTGGCCACTGAAGTAGGCAGTGTTTTGTTTCAGGAACTTTGTTGTGAACATTAGGAACTCGTTACCACTCCACCAATAACGCACACATCCTGTGCAAACCTCAGCTGCGCACGCGCATTTAAACTGTTAACAGTTCTAATGAGAAGTTGAAAGTTCGTTCTTAGACGGGGAAAATTTAGCAACTTTTGAGAATTGTTGGTAAATTACGACATATTTTTTGAAGACCATTTAAACAAAATGTATGTTTTCTCTAAGAAATAGAAATAAAAATTGCTGAATGCATTTGGGCTAAATTGAAAATCAGGTAGAACTCAAAATAAAAATACCCTAGGTGATCGAAACAGCGACGAAGGGTACAATGTACTACATTTTCGAAATGAATCTAAATGAAAAAAAAATATGCAAGGAAACCAAATTATAACCCTGCCTACACAACACAAAGAGCTCTCAAATTATCAGATTTGCAAAGAGTAAGTTTCCGGGATATTCAGTAAAAAAATGAATGAATGATATGTATGCCCTACATCCGACGACCTACATCTATTCATGTGGTTCAAGTAACAGATAAAACAATTAATAAAAATATTCCGCAATAAAAACAGGTTAATAGAAAACAAAGTCAAGGATGATAAACAATTTTAGGGTCAAATATTAATTTATAATATTATATTATTGATAACACATTAAAAACGTTGATAGGGAAACAGGGATCAAGTTTTAAAAACTTGAGAAACATTACAATTTTACGGTATTTTTCCCCTTTTATTAAATCGTCGAAAATTGAAGAGTTTTGAGAATATGACATAACATAACATCATGCCTTTTCATTCCCGAAGGGGTAGGCAGAGGTGTACATTATGCCGCTATACAATGTAACACCCACTTTTCACAATTTATGTTGAGTGCCATGTAATAGGTAGTGAGTCTATTGCATCATAGTTCCAGACTCCGTGCTACTACTGAGAATTAAAAACCCCGTAATACTTTGACGGACCTGGGAATCGAACCCGAGACCCTTTGCCCGACAGTCGCACTTGCGACCACTTGGCTAACGAGGCAGTCAGGTTAGAGATATCCAACTATCGCGTGCATAACAGCATAACTTAACAGGATATAATATTCGCAATGATAATGAAAAAAAATAACAAAAATGATCTATCATTATAAGATTCCTTATTAATCGTTTATGCTAAATTCATTAAGATAATCCATGACCTCCATTCAATTAAAACTAGTCCTATACATCGCAAATAGTCAAATCTGACTACGACTAGACGACTAGATAAATAAATAGTAATTTAAACAATAGTCGGAGCTTTTAAGTGTTGACTGAGCCACTACTAAGTATCTGGCTATCCACAGACATGGGTGTGTCGTAATAATATCACCTGCATGAAGAGTGAGACTATTCATAACATGGTCGTGGAAGATAAGGATGTGGAGTATATAGAGGAATCAATCGTTATAGCAATCTTTGTGACAGTAAACGCTGATGATTGTCATAAAAAAGTGCAAATGTGTTTCTAAACATACCATACTTCAGTCCCAGCCAAGTTTTGTGGAAGGGCTGGTAGCGCCTCGCAGGTGGAGGCCTTGGCTTCCGATATAGAAGACCACACGAAGGAGTGCAGCACAACTGGAAGTATCTCTTATCTCGGATTTTTTCTGCAGCTTTCAGCCTTTCCCTGGCTAATCTACCAGCACACCGACGTGGGCTGGACACCGCCAGGGCCGAAGCCACAACGGCCATCGCCGCCAACACGAACCACCAACGCATCACTACAGCATCCTTTCATTCGCTACCCATAACGTCTGTGCATTTCCACTCACATAGTAACAGCTCACTTATAATTTGCAATCCTCACTTTACACGCGACTTATCAATAAAAACACCGTTCAACACTATTTAAAGTCTAAAACAAGCTTCGCTGAGCTTTAAACAAAACTGCGATAACCATTCATTAGAAATATAACATAACGATTAACTATTTATGCGAAGCTAAGTTAAGCTCGCTTAGAATGTAGTTTGTGGCGTGATAACTTCAGAATTCCTCGCGAAAATACTTGAGATATTACAATTTTTGTACAGCGTGTTCGTAATGACAATGAATGAACGTAACCGCGTGTTATTGTTCGGAGTGGTAAGAGGTGGTCGGCAGCGGGACGTGTGTGCACGCCGGCGGTGACACGACGACTGGCACACCGAGTCGTTGCCGAGGACTACGCACCACGCTATCCTGGGTAGCTAAGATCTCGCTTTTGATAGACCTCTGAACGATTGGGCACTTGTTTGAATTTTGTATAAAATGATGTCTTCATCATCAAATCATCAAAAAAAACATAATTAGGCATTTTTACTTAATTATGTTTTTTGTTGTAGTTGAGTATGCAATGAGGAACTATATTATATTCTTGTGTCCCGCTCTAAACAGGGTAATAGCACATACCTAATTTTAGACGCTAAAAAATGATCCGAGACGGACCAGTAATTAGAAACGAAAAGTAATGGAAATGTAACATGAATCAAACAAGAACAAGAATCAAAACTATGTAACGAAACGAGTGCTGAATATTACACACATGAGGATAGATGATTTCTTTTCTTAGTGACGAGATAATCGTTTCTTATGGTAGAAAAAGAATTTTTTAAATCCGTCCACAGACGTCGGAGTAATCGTAACATACACACAAAAAAACAACTTACAGTTGAATTAATAACCTCCTCCTTTTTAGGAAATCGGTTAAAAAGAACAAGTGTTATTAGAAGATCAAATAACAAATATTTAGAACGTTGCAAAGCAAGAGAAAGGTTGATTAGAAAGAAGAAATGATGATAGTGAAAGAAAGCGTCATTTTACGGGCTACGTGGCTGGCACGCGAGTCCACTAATTAGGCCGAGTTCTGATCTAGAGATTGCCGCGGTGATAAGCGATGATAAAAACGCGCGGGTGGTCGGCCGGTCCATTGCCTGCATCCATCACAGATACAGGTTACAGGACACTTACTAAACCAATCACATTTCAAACTTTGTTAAATTTTTCCGAAGTTTTCCTAATGATTGAAGTAGAGATAGATTTGGTTGATCGCAAATAAGCCCTTAACATAAAATGTAACAAGGTGATTCAGATTATAATTCTCGGTTTGGAAAATGACATAACATAACATAATATCAAGCATTTTATCCCCGAAGGGATAGATAAAGGTGCAAATTACGGCACTTAATGCCACTACACAATGTAACACTCACTTTTCACTATTTATGTTATGAGTCCCATGTAATAGGGGGTGAGCCTATTGCCATATACCGGGCACAATTCCAGACTCCGTGCTACTACTGAGAATTTTTTAAAAACCCAGTAATACTTTGCCCGACCCGGGAATCGAACCTGAGACTCCTTGCCCGGCAGTCGCGCTTGCGACCACTCGGCCAACAAGGCAGTCAGTTTTATGGTATGAGTCCCATGTAATAAGGGGTGAGCCTATTGCCATATACCGGGAGCATTTCTGGACTCCGTGCTACTACTGAGATTTTTTTAAAAGCCAGTAATATTTTGTCCTATTCGGAAACCGAACCCAAGACCCCGTGCCCGACAGTCGCATTTGCGACAACTCGGCCGATGAGGCAGTTAAATGGGATTTGGGAATTGAATGAGTTTCAAAATGTTATTAATTATGGGAGTATACAAATGTATCTGTATCTATATATATAAAATTCAAAGGTGACTGACTGACTGACTGACTGACATAGTGATCTATCAACGCACAGCCCAAACCATTAGACGGATCAAGCTGAAATTTGGCATGCAGATAGATATTATGACGTAGGCATCCGCTAAGAAAGGATTTTGATCATTCTCACCCCCAAGGGGGTAAAATATGGGGTGAAAGTTTGTATGAAACTTTGTCAATTTTATACCAATCGGGTTGAAATTCGGAGTGCCGGTAGATATTGTGACGTAAACATCTTTTAAGAAAGAATTTTGATTATTTTCACCCCTAAGGGGGTAAAATAGGGGGTGAAAGTTTGTATGAAACTTTGTCAAGTTTAAACCGATCAGGTTGAAATTAGGTGTGCTGGTAGATATTATGGCGTAAGCATTTTCTAAGAAAGAATTTTGATCATTTTCACTCTCAAGGGGGTAAAATAGGGGGTCAAAGTTCGTATGAAACTTTGTCAGTTTTACACCGATGGGGATGAAATTCGGCATGCAGGTAGATGTTATGACGTAGTACTCCCCAAGTAAGGATTTTGATCATTTCCACCCCAAAGTGGGTAAAATAGGGGGTGAAAGTTTGTATGATACTTTGCCAGTTTTAAACCGATCGGGCTGAGACTTTGCATGCATAAAGTTACTATGACATAGGTATTTCCTTAGAAAGAATTTTGATAAATTCCACCCCTAATGCGGATAAAATAGGGAATGAGAGTTTGTATAAATCTTCTTAGCAATTGAATCTAGAATCATTGATTGTTTTTGGATTACATTCGGTAAAACGATGATTTGGGACCTGGGTAACGTATGATAGTTTTTATCACAGAAGTCCCACAGGAACGGAAACTATGCGTCAATGCCCCAGGACTCTCTATCTCTTAACCACTGAACTTATAGTTGATAGAATAGTTTTTATTACTCAAAACTTACGTGATCGGGCACTGTACTGGTAAGAACCCTGCGGGATTATTGATTTATTGAGACTACGATAACTCATTTTACAATAGGTAAATCTTACTTGGGCACTGAATTGATTCTGATGAATTCTGTCAAAAGTCATTATTCTACGCGGACGAAGTCGCGGGCAACAGCTAGTATTGTAATAAGCTTAAAAGGTATGATTGTTTTTTGTAACTTAAATCTTATAAATAATGATATACAATACATTACTACTTGGGATAGCTTAAGGAAACTAATATAAACAGTGTTAATTGCAGAAGAAATCTATGCCATGTTGTCGAAGACGGACACCCCTTATCGTCAATCTTTAAGATGATGACAACCTTAGAATCTAGTTAGACCCTAGTACTTACGAATTACGCCCTCAGGGCCATAACGATGATAAAATCTAGATAGATTATCAGATCGTGGTGGTGCTAAATAGAATCTTTGTATCTTTCAAAGAACGAAGTGTTTGTGATAAAAAATTTACAGAAGAATTGGGACAGATATAGAAGAAGTCTGGAATAGCTACTTGTTTCCCATATTTAGAACGCAGACGAAGCTATAGGCAGGATTTAAACAGAACTGAACAAACAAACAAACAGTAAGGTAGTGAATATGAGAAAATAGTGTCACTTACACGAGCCAGTGAAAGGGACAAAGGCAGTGAGAATAACCTCTCACGACTGTAGGACATGGCAAGCAGGAGAGGATAAATTATGGGATCTTTATTGACTGTGCACATAGTTAAAGTTCTAAGTAGGTACTTAATGAGATCAGTGCCTTTAGCCAAACGCCACTTTAGCGCTTATCTACATGTAGAATAAAAAACCAAATTATATGGAATTGATGTAGATTTTGACACTTGTCAGTGTCATTCCCATACATTTAGTTTTCTACTCTTTCTGTAGACAAGAGCTAAAGGCGTTTGGCTAAAGGCACAGTGCCTTTATCCAAACGCCACTTTAGCGCTTATAATTTGGTTTTCTATTCTACATGAATGTAGACAAGAGTTAAATGGCATTTGGCTACAACTGCAGATTAGTCACTTTAGGTCCAACAACGCATCGTGTTGTGGATTCAATTCTCGCACGGAACCACTCTTTGTGTGATCAACAAATCTTTCCAGGTCTTGGCGTCATGTGTGACACAAGACAAAATCCTAGTTTGGAGCAACATTCTTTTATATTTACTTTATTTACAAAGTAACCATGATCTTTCAAAAATATGATGTTGGATAGACGACAACGTCATAGCGGATCGAAGAAAGATGCTTAAAACAGAGAAAGTAAAGCAGAAAAAGCAGCAGGTGAATCTGAGTTTTAATATTTACTTCATTGGCAAAGTTACCATGATTCTTCAAAAACATGATGTTAAATAGACGATGACGTCATAAGCCGATAGAAGAAAAATGCTCAAAACAGAGGAAGTATAGTAAAAAAAGCAGTGGGTGAATCTGGGCTGGAATGACAATGATGTTCTTTTAATTTCACCCATGCGTCTAGCGACTATATAGTGTAAAAATGCCATTTGTCTAGGGCGTACCCTAGAAGACCAATGGCACTTGTGCTATAGTACAAGCCTAATCAAGTATTAACAAAAAGTAAATAATGCTTTTGGTCCAAAGAACTTCCGTCTCTAAGAAGTTTTATCTCAAGAAGTTCTTTGGACACACTACAGACCTCCTTCCCGATAAAACCTGCTCTGAATGAATTGTTTATATAATATTATTTCAATGATAACATCTTATTTCCGCATAGAGTCGGTATATTATATGATAAGGGAATTACCAGAACTGGATGTGTGCCCATTATTCTGTTTTTAGGAATCAAACTATGAATCATTTAGTTGTAGGCATTTGTATTCAGGCCATAGATAATGTTTAGAATTAATACTGTTTTACTAGTTAACAGAACCGACACAAACGCCTTTCCCAAAATGGTATGGTCCATTTTGATCTAATGTCTCCATGATATTAGTCACTATTGCAGAAACACATGAATAGAAATGTAAAAATCTTATTTCATTAAAGTTTTCATTGTCCACATTAGTGGGTCAGATTCCCGACCGATTCTTGAGGTATAAACAATCTGCACGATTGGGTTGGAAGATCTTTTGGAACGACTAAGCCAACGGGGAAACACTTTCTTTGTTTTTGGAAACCGTAAAATTGGAGTAGGACAGTGTCCAGTATATCAAGTAGACAAAGTGCGCAGGATTCGTGGGGCCCCCGATTAGATTACATGCGCACGCGCCGCCGCTCCCAGCACCATTGTGGGCTTGAAGGCTTGTAATGAATGGGTTTTATTGAGAGAACAAATGCATTGCTTGTAAATTGTAGTCAATTGTATGTATGGTTAATGTCATAA